ATTGCACGCAACACGCAAAAGCGGTAACCACAACGGCAACAGCAACTCGCATATGGAAATGACGCGAAAATGCCACTCATGCGTTCCGTTTGCTTGCTCAGGCGATATGTCTGTCACATCCATGCCGAGCACTCTGCTCACCACTTCCTTTGGCATTAAGTTATGCGTCATCCTTGGCAGGGACATGCGTGTAGGCCGGCTAACGGCGAATGGGGCCCGTTTTAAATATCTTTGGTGTACCATAAATATGAAATTAAATTCTAATCCTAATGGAAACTTCGGTGCGTAATGGAGCTTGTGAGTCATCTAGGAAGTTGCCTGCGAGCCCCCTGCTCATGGACATGCTTGTGGTAAATTATTACCTTTCCCATGAAATGTATGAGTAGCTGACGAACCCAACTCTTATGTCTTTTTGATGCCAAATTATAGTTAACGTTACAAAATTAATTCTAATTAATTAGTGAGACTTTTTTGTTTCAATAATAATCACTTGGGGTCGTTATACTTGAAAAGCATAAGGTTTTTAGATATTTTAAATATATATAGAGGGTGCGCCATCTTTTATGTCGGTATGTAAACATTGAATATCTTTGAAACTAAACAACCGATTTTCATGTATGAGATATTTTTATTTAATTAGGTTCTGTACAATTTCTTCAGACTAATTTTTCAACACTGGTCTACTCATGTCAATCGGTTCACTAATGACAAAGTTATTAAATATTTACATACCGACATAAAAGATGGCGCACCCTGTATTACACGGGTTATATTATCATTTGGGAGGTAGGTTCTCTACATTCATAATTGTAGACCGATGTCACTCCATATTTAAAGTTTCAGACCTATTAGAAAGAAACTACATATGTAATGCTTGTATAAAGAGTAATTAATAAATATGTAGTATGCAAAACTTGTTCGTTATTGGAATAAGAAAGCTTCTGTATTTTTTTTTTTTCGTCATATCGGACAATGTCACATCTAACTAGCATTCCGAATGGTAAACATGGATGAGCAGATGCAAATTAGATGTACGGACACAGATTAAACACCGAAATTTGAAATGATATTCTTTAAATCCGAAAAAAGCAATTCCCACCCAATGTTAAGGGACTATAATGCTTACCAAACATTAATAAGACATCTCAATACCTAACTATCAAGTGCACACAATTTTTTTTAGAATAGAGATCCGAAACACACAACAGACCAGTCTTGAATATCGTAGGGGACTACATAAACGTATTGAGCTGAGTTGGATAAACGTTTTAAGAACAAATGTACATTTGAGCCAAAGTATAAGAACAATACAGAATCTTTCCTATATCCTATCACAATTTTTAATAAGTTATAACATTTATAATTTAAAGTAAATCTACCTGCCAGTTCTCACAAAAGATTACATATTTCAATATCTGATAAATTAAATTGAAAAATTGTTGCATGTGGAGGAAAGCGCGAATTCAAAATAAAAGTTGATATCGCTGTAAAACTTAGCTTATATTAAGAAAATAAAATTAAATATTTGCGCTTAAACATAAATACTCGTTTAATGGAAGACTATATATACATATGTATACTTGTATATACAAGTTTATGTACAAAATAGTTGTGTATGTACACTTGGTACACACAAAAAAAAAAAAAAATGAAGAAAACGAACCACACATTTCCGTCATAATAATGTGTGAAAGGATATTAATTATGAAACAAGCGAACGACAGGAAGCGATGGCAATAAAAACAGCAAGCGGCAGGAGCGCTATGCGTGACCAACAACAACAAAACGGCAATAACAACAACAACATAGGCGGAGCAAAAACAAAAACGAAAAAAAAAAAATGAAAAACAATCTTGTATATTGTATTTTATGTGAGTGGCTGGCACACGGCCGGGCGGAGCGGAAACGGGAGCAACATGTGCAACATGTCGAACGGAAGTGTCGGCCATATTCTACACACACACAAGCACACACACACACACACACACAGACATACACACACATACACACCCTAAATAGGCCCACGTAGCGCACATACACACGCATTATGACCAAGTAGATTTTTATGTAATGTCGGTTGGTTATTGCTTTTATACATTTATTTCATTTCATTTTTTTTTTTCGTCCTCCATGTCCTGTCAAGGGAGTCAGCCAACCAGGCAGAGCCGACAGACCGCCTGCCTATGACAGCGCGTCGACTGTCATCCGTCAGTTCGGCTGTGCGTCAGTTGGGCACGTTGCTGTTCCACGTGACGGCGACGATGACTGCGATGGTAATGGTTGAGGTGATGGTGACGGCGACGGGTCCTGCGTCAGCAAGGATGCCCGACCCGATTCGAACCGGAGAGACGCACACGCGGTGGCTGCTCCTGCGTGTAATTGCTGTTGTAATGTCGGCGAACGCGAATATAATTGCTAAAATGTTGCATAAACTGACGCAGCCGGCAGACGTGCCAGGACCTAGTATATGTACATTTAGATATGTTTGGGAGCTATACGACACTTTTCCATTTGATTTTAATTTCAATTTACGCCAACGGCCAGCAGCAGCAAAATGGATTTCACTTGCCGGAAATTGGCAATGGAAATGACACAACATGGCGCTTTCAAACACCATACAGCCTCAGCCTCAGTCGCAGTCCCAGTCCCAGCCATGGAGTTAGTTAGGAGCTGAAGCCCCCGGTCACGGGTTATGGGTCTACTCCCAGACATTTGTGGCATAGGATGAAGTCAATTGAAAATGTCATTCGGTGCAAAAGAAAAAACACGGTGTGTACTGTAAAATGTTGAAGCTTGAATTCAGAGCACTGTGCTCTTCATACTTCATATAGAGAACTCATACTTTTTGTTTTAATCGCGAGGTTGAGCAAAACATCGACAATCAGAATTGCCAGAATTATTTCTCTACATATATATTTTTAGCTTTTGCGAGCACTCCACTGCCTTCAATTGTACTTGTATATCCTGAAAATGCTTTCAAGTTATTAAGTCTTTTATAAATGTGTTTGGATCGAAGCAAGCCGGATGGGGAAATAAAATGCTTGAGTGTATTACTCAAGAGTCCTTATTGTACATAAATACAAAGAAACAAAATCAAACAAAAATATGCTTATGGGAAACGTCTTTTACTTTTTTTGGTAAACGTCTTTTACTTTGTTTCTTTTTTTCTTTTTTTCTTTCTTTCGGGCTCTTTTTCTTTTTTTTTTTTTGTCCGCCTTAATTTCTTTTCAAAATTGCAACATTATGGATGGAGTTGTCTTCAATGGCGTTTGAAGAAATAAATATTTAATAATAATATTCGTCGAATTACAACTCATTGCCCAAAAAAATTATATAATTCTTCACCCATTATTAGGGCTAAGCTAGGGCCTCGAACATGGCTAAAAGAATTATAAATATATTTATTCTATATCGATTTTATTTTAATGAAATTATCTGACTCGATATGGACGATGATTCGGAGGTAGCTGAATATAGATACTTTCAGAGAGGCGAGGAAGAGTTCTAAGTAATACAATATTATGTTGTCTGATTATCCAGGTATCTGTAAAATTATATTTAAACTTATAAAAATTGAAAGCCTTCGAATTAAAGGGAGCCTTTCATTTTTCACTTTAAAAACACCTAACAGGCCAGGAAATATACATATGTAATTATTCTTTGTTTACCGAATAATGAAGTCGCTAAATAACTTTCTAAATAAAGCAATTCAAATTTTCCGCTTTTTTACAATTAACCGCGTTTAACTCACTCACGCATACTAACATGTGTACTACTTGGCGTTATGAGTAAATTTCCGCGGACCAAAATCGTGCCACCAAACAGTGCCGTCTCGTCTGGCTATCTGATTAATTGCAAAGAAAATTAACATCAACATAAAAAATACGTACAATAAAAAAGTAAATAAATAAAATACTAAAACAAACGGCAAACAAGAAAACAAATACTCGGACGACCAATATACTATACTCATACGTATAGTATATGGGAATAATGTTCCCAAATTTAGCAAACTATTAACCACGCTACGTTAATTTCATTAACGTGTCTGTCACTCTCTCTCCCGTTCCTCCCTCTCTCTCTCTCTCTCTCTTTCTCCTCTCCGGACAGCTGTTGCCGGGGTCTGGCTTTTGGTTCCCGCTTGTTTCAGTGACCGTGTTTTGTACTTACGAGTATGTATTTAATTGCGCTAATTGGTCGGCTAATTGGCGTATGTTTACCGGTTTTTTGTTGGTTTTGGGTGTTAACCATGGCTGGCCGGCAGCCCCATCGATCGGCCAGTATCGCCACGTTAATAAATCAGTTGAAATTAATTCATTTGTCATATTAACGCAGATCTTTAGCCATTGTTGTTGACAGGTTCCGAATGATTTTTATTAAAGTGCCAGACTGTCATTCGTCTATCTCGTATCGATGGACTTAATCAGACAATTAGTAGATACAGAACCAGAGCGAAAGGACAAATGTTACCGCCTAATTGCATTACTTGTATAAAAAACGAGAGTTAATACCAGTAAACTATATTTGCTTTCAATGCCTTAATCAGATTCGAGATACCTACTCTAATTATAGGTACTCTGTATGCACCGAGAGAAAAGGAAGTCCAACAGCCAGAAGGTATCCAGCCAGAATGTTGAGTAAATATTAAGTTGATTGATTTGCCGTTTTATCGGAAAAAATGATCAAACAGCCCTTTCTTGGGCTTACGGGAATCTGGATACCAAGTTTTGTTATTCTAGCTCTTATACTTTCTGAGATTCTTGCGTTCATACAGACAGACAGACGGACAGACAGACAGACGGACAGACGGCTTGTCATCCTGATCAAGAATATATATTCTTTGTGGGGTATGCTAAGCCTCCTTTTTTAATTTTTAATTTTTTAATGGCTTATTGACATTCTGAGAAGATGTGTAAAGCATTTCTTTTTTTAGGGATCCACTGAGACAACCAGAGCCCCCACCCTTGGGTACACAATATTAAGAAATAAAAAGCCAAGGCTTTCAACCAAAATTTTTATTTATTTTTAATTGCTGATGGATTGGCCGATTGCATGCACTCTACGACGGATGTAATGTCATTAGCCAAGTTTAAATGTCTGTCCTTTGAGCCTGCCTAATGGCATTCGACCGCTTATAGTCGTAGCTGCATGCGAGGGCTCCCTTTTTTTGTGGGTATACGAGTATGTGCATGTGTTAAAAAACTAATGACTTTGACTATCTTGCCAGAAATCGCGCCAGCACTGATAGGCATCGTCCACTTCGTCGGAGTTTTGGGAGGACTGCGCGTTCTCGAACTCCGCCAGTTTCTGTAGACGCAGGTGCATGCGTTCTTGGAGCTCCTCCTCGCTGAGTGGCTCCTCGCTGCTTGGTGGTAGAAGCTCTGTGGCGGATCCTGGTGTATCTAGCTCCAATTGGTGTGTCTTGGACTTCAGCATGGGAAATTGTGTCTCACTGCCCGTATCTATGGTCACATCATGATCAAGCTCTGAGCTTAGTTTCCTAATCAGTGGAGGGCCATCACCAGCGCTAGAAGGACGCTGGCTCCAACGGCTGTCTCCGGCTTCAACGCCACCTCCCGTGTACCTGGCCCGCTCGTTCTCATTGGAGACCTCAATGCGCAAACGGCGTCCGCGGCAAATGGGCTCGTCCTCTTTGAGCAAAGCGATTAGTTCTTCTCGCGTTTCCAACTCCACGTAGGCAAAGCCACGTGTGCGCCGATGGGAGCGATCGTCGCGGGGCAGACGCAAGGAGCGAATGCCATGATGACTGAACAGCTGACGCACCTCCTGCTCACCTGCATCGAACGGCAGGTTGTTGATGAAAGCCACATATGGAGGCCTCAGCGGAATATTCTGGTCGCACTCCAGCGCTCGCACCGCTCTCGGAGCCGTGGGGAGCTCATATGTCTTGGCCACCTCCTGTGCCTCGTGATCCAGATCGGTGCGCAACACCTTCGTCACCTGAATGGTGTCGGTTTGGCTCTGCTCGGCACAGTTGCTGGCCAGAAAGCTGCTCAGGGGCACCGGTGTTGCCTTGGAGCGGGCCTTTGGCTTTGTCTTGGAAGAGTGCTTCACATTGACAGCCATTTGGAACGAGCGTTGTGGTTAGTAAGCAATGAAGATTACTGATCGAATTGAGTGTTGCCTAGAACCGGACTACAATAATACTAAATAGTGTCTATATACGAATGTATTAAACGACAGAATATCTTTTGTTAATAATAATTAGTTGAATTGATGCACAGAGGTTACTTGGAGCTCTGCTATTAATAAAGAAACTTGTCACAAAGTGTCAAGGAAACTCAACCAGATCTGGGTAAATTATTGTACACACTTTTCACCCTTTTCACCCTATTTATAGCTTTAAAAGTTATCCAGCTTGAAAATTTATTTCAATAAATTTTTTATTTAAAAATAAATTCAGCAAATTATATCCTCAATCAGTCATCATCTACTTATGGGTCCCTAACACTCCAAATAATTTTACAAATGTTGTTTCTACAATGCATTCGCTTTGTATTAAGCTTTGCTTCCATTCTAGAGCATCTTTTAACTAAATATTAACAGCTTAAAGACCCATTGATATACTTTGAAAAAAAAAAGGGTTTTCTTAGGTAATCGTGACTTTAAATAAATGTCTGCAGTTCCATTTGTTTAGCTATTTCCGATTAATCACAGCGCTGCTTGGGATCATCGGTATTTCGAGCATATCCCTTAGGCTTATCGCGATCGAAGGAGACATGTGTGTTATTCAAAGCAAATTACAAGTCAACTGAGACTACATATCCTCCTATGTATGTCGTAATGGATTGTCATCTGCGCATTTGCCTCAGCGTGGTTACTTCTAATCGGTACAGTGCTAACATTCTCCTTCTATTCAGTCCAATACAACTGAACCGGACTGGACCGGACCGGACCAACCAGACCCAAACCCAAACCCAGAGCCAAATGGCAAAGTTCAGGCATTGGCCAAGTAATTTACAGCTAATGTAACCAACTGAAAGATATCAAAGTTCAGCAAACAAATGGCACGGACTGGTTAATGCAGAGCTTGTATGGTCGTCGACGTCGTCGTCGTCGTCGTCGTCGTTTGTTTGTTTGCTGTTAGTTTTGGGCTCGTTTCGGGCCAAACTTGGTCCGTGCATGTGTGTGTTACTGTGTGGGCCACATTGGGTAATCATTTGGGGCTACACCCATATTCCGTAGAAAAAAATTGGGTGCGTTAGTCAAACACAAAATAAAACAAACTGATAAAAATCGTAAGCCGAGCCGAAACAACAGCAAGGAGTAGGAGATGGAGATGGAGAAGAAGAAGAAGGCCTCTTTTGCCGCATTAGCCCGTGCGTGTCTGATGTATGCCCGCGCACAACATCGAGCAAGAAACAAGGTAAATTATTAGGCCAATTATATTTTGAAAATTTACATTCATATGCGACAACACCGTCTAAGTACGTCCATGAAGAGCTGTCGAGCTACTCATGCCCCGCACTCTTGTTTTGCAGTGTCCCCTAGAGATGTGCGCGTGACAAAAAATATACTTGCTAACACTTTATCGAGCAGTGTATCATTCAATCTTTCAGTTCCACTAATGTATTTAATTAGTATACCATTTCATCTCAATTTCAGTTCTGTTTAACGAATATATTACAAATATATCCTTGTATATTGGTTTTTTAAAAGGCATGTGTATTAAAGTATTTCAAAGTATTGAAGCATTGTTTCAAATGGATTGGGAAATAAAAGAGGGCTCTATGTTTTCACGGCTCATCCATTCGAACTATATCTCAATTTGTTTACGATTTTTCCATCTACTTGTGATAAAAGATATGTCTAATTTATCATTAACTTTATTTTCGAATCATATTCCTAACAACGTCATTGCCTCTTGCATTATCTGATCTGCGAACAGACCAGGAGGCTGCTCAGGACGCATTCTCTGCACCTCCCCTGGGACTAACCGGATTCTAAAACCTCATCATAAATGAAATAAATCATTGTCAAGTTTATTTAACCAATCAAATGATTGTGCACGATGAACACTTTTAAATAAAAACACTCTGCTAATAAAAAAATTATCTGATCTAATCATGTTCTGCTTAATACTTCATTTTACAATACATTTCCCATTATTTTCAAATTTTTGAAAATTTTTAAATGATTTATTTTTCAAATGCATTTGGTTTTTAACGCTTTTTGCAATCACGTGCACTCACGCACAGCTCTAAAGTGTACCTAAGCAGTGTTAAGTGGCTCGACATAGTCACACTTCGACACAAAAATACACACACACACACACACATACTAGCACTCGTCCATCTTGATGCGGGCGGTGCTGAACGTGCATCGGCATAAGCGAGTCGAACGGAACCGAGCCGAACCGAACCAGGCCGTATCCGTCAAGTTTTGTTGGGTGTGTTCTTATGTATTTGTTTTTATTTTGCCATGGCTATCTCATATTTTTCTATACCCATCGACTCGGCTGGGCTATGGTTGCGCCTATCGCTGCTCTAGCATCGCCTTTTATACAAGTTGTTTTCTAAAGAAAAAATCACACACTGCTCCATGCCATAAATGCGGAATGGGGGGCATAGACATCGACATCGACATCGACATCGGATCAGACGTGCGTGCAATGCACGTAATTAATTTTGAGGATTTAGATTTTGGCGATAACATCGTTTGTAAATACTCGTACTATATTTATGCCAATGTAGCATGCACGTAAATTAAATTTCGACAGACGAGCATTTGAATTTGTGGGAGCCGTCGAGCCCATCTCGATAAAGCAACTACACGTAACAATGTTTTCATTTATTCATGAAAACTATTAAAGAATTGCCCAATATTCATAAGGGAATAAGTTAAGAATTTTTCAGACTGATATCTTCTTTTAAGATTAAATGCACTCGCCTTGTTTGGAGGTGGAACTTAGAGAGAAGAAAAATTGTAGGATAGGATTAAATAGCTAAAATTTTCCATATAAAGTCGACCACACGTTCATTATTATGAAGCACTATTTCGCCTTAAAATGGATCTGCGTTGGATTTGTTGAAGTTTTTTCATTGATCACATGCATAAATTATTTTTTAAATGAAGCATTAAGAAAATTACACCTCCTTTAAAAATCTATTCTCTGCTTAAAATTAATTTACGATTTCAGTACGTTAAGCAATATGTATTTTATGTAGTATTGATGGTTTGTTCTTTGGTTTTTCTGTCCGACATATATATACATATATACAAGTATAAAGAAAATTTAAAGAACAATTTGAAAAAAAATGTTGAATGTTATGAATTATTGAAATTACTGAAAGTAAATTTTGGATCTGCATGCTTGAAAGCTTAAATTAAAGTTTATTATTTTAATTGCAGTTTCTCAAACTTTTGCCGAATTGAAAAAAAGAAGAAGATATTTGAAGATATCTTTTCTTCACTTTTATATGTGAAGGTAAAAAGTAGGCCACGGCCCCTTTTTCACTCTAGCTTATTGCTTTTTTTGGTTTTATAATATCGAAAATGTATTTGACACTATACCATTACATATATGTAGCCATAATTATAGTCCGGATATGTTCAGCAGATAAAATAAAGGACTATATCCATTGCGGACTTTGTCAAAATTGTGGACTTCTTCCGAATGCAACGAGCGGATTTAAGTGCTCAGCCGATGATTTAGAGGCAGTGTCAACTGACACATCAGCGCCTCATCAAAGTGGGTTGGGGAGTTGTACACCCGACGATTTCAGGATAAGTGCGTGTTCTATATATTAATGCTGCCAATATCTAGACACATTCAATGTATATCTTTGCAGAAAATTTGAAAACCTTTTGCTGCTTGTGGTCGCAGAAATCAGGCTGCCAAATGGTTGTTGGTCCTCAATGGTCTGATACTGATAAGAGAGCTCTACGTAGATGTGACTTGTGTCTGCACTACTGTCCGTGCGCGGCTCCAACTGTAGTTGCCCGGAGATTTGCAGTTTTTGTCTGTATGGCGTTGATTACGATATGGAACTTCTGATCAAATAGCTAGCTTTTAGATGGAGGTATTAAATTTTTTTTCAAGTGTAATACACACGCTCCCTTATTAATTCCTATGTGTTCTTTTACTTTGCAATTTATTGGATCTCGTCTCTTTTAAATTGAAACTTTAACTTAATAGAGCCAAAAACTTGTTGCAGATACGTTTTAGAATGTTGGACGAATAAGTTAGAAGGTCCATTTAAAAAAACTGTTTCAGCTTCATAAATCAGTGCTCATATTTCTGGTCTCCCTGCTAAGTATAATATATTTTTTCCCATCTGTACTGGGATTTTAAAAGAAAGATTTCAACTCATAAGTCATCTCACTATTTGCTACAACATATCATCCAATAACTCCATAAATTGCACAACAAATTTATACTTCTTTTGCATATTTGCTTAAAAAAAGAACTGTTCTACCAATTAATCCATTGATCCAATATTCTATAGCTGTACATTGCCTAGAGTATTAAAGGTTTAAGTTTAAAAGAATAAAAATTAGATCTTTAAGAGAATAAGGTTGCAGCATTGTAGAAACTAAACATCTGAAGATTTCTCCTCCAAATTTATATTTCAAAGGATCGTTTTTACACCCTGTATATACCTGGGTATATTAGGTTTGTGCAAAGTATGTAAAATATATTATAGTATTATTATATAGTATATTTCAATCCATACAGCGTTCTCTCTTTTACTTTCTTTTATCTTGTGAGTTTTAATCTCAGGTCGTGAATAAGAGATTATAATTTTAATTCTATTACACGTACTATCGGCTTAATAGTTTCTATATATTATAATTGAGGGTTTCCAAAATCCGATATTATTCTTAAGCTAAAATTATTACATCAAATGGTGTAATCGGAGAATCATTTAAGTGCGTTTATCCGTCTGTATGTCGCTTTCAATATTGCCTGCCAAACACAGCACTTGGAGGCGTAAAATAAACCAATTGATAAATATGCAGCATAAGTATGGCAGATAAGTGGAAATTTATCAAAGCGAGAGCCCATACCCCATACCCCCTACCCCACAGCCCACACCCCATTCAGCAACCTAGCAGTTTGCGAGCCACTGGCAGTTGTCAGTTGCAGCATCAGGCGGTAGGATGTTGGCGGTTCCTTGAGCGGCAGCGGCCAATAAAATGACTTTCGCCACGGTTATCAATAACCGGCTATCGATATTTTATTAAAATTGATGCGCCAGCACAAACACACACAGATACACACAGACACACACACACACCCCTCTGACAGGCAGCAGAAGAGCAAGCGTAAATAAAAATAAATAATAATGCCCATTATTACAGTTTATCCTGCAAACCAGCCCGCCCACTGACAACCCAACCAATAGTTTTTTTCCCGTCGTTTTTTTTTTTTTGGCCCAATGCTATCGAGTCCTTGCCACTCATAAGCGCACTAATCCGTCAATATTTATTGCCATAACTGGGCGAACAGCGAATGGTGAAATGCGAGAGCCGGATGCTCAGGATGAGCAGGAAGTGTGGGAAGCGGGAGCGGGAGCAGAGGGAAGGGCGGATGGGCGGATGGGCGGATGGGCGTTGGCAATTGATAACGTGCGTGTGAAATTTATCAAATAAATTGAGGCCATAAATGTCAAAGCTGCGTATGATTCATAGACAGAGTTGCTTTTACTGTTGCTGCCTCGGCAGACACTGGTTATTAGGCAGCTTCCGTTGCCAATCAAGCAGAAGCAAAGTATTCCCACAACCAGCAGACAGACTTCCCGAACTCGACTTCAGGCAGCGTCCAATCCGAAGCCAATCCATGCGCATTAGCTCAGCTGACAAATGTGTGAGATTTGCTCTCGAGTGGATCGGATTTGCCATGAAGTAGGTGGAACGCACAGTCTAGTTCCATTTAGTGAAGGACTAGGAGTAATCCTAAATATACGTAGCTTCGGATTTGAGGATGTAAAGGAGGCGTCAAAAATTTAATAACTGAATTAAGGAAAGAAAGTATCCACTGCTTATTTAAAAATGTCATTGACAGTCCTTCCCGTTTCCCGCTCAATCGTTCTGTTCATGGTCCAACTTGTCCAACCGGGTTAACCGATGTCTATCTTTAGAAGAAATTATGGGCTATAAATTGAGTTGTTGTACAAAATCTCAACTCGTTTCCGCCTACTAAGTACACGTTTATAATTAACCGAACTCTGCACTGATACTGATTTATAAATAATCGTTAAAACTATGATTTGTTGTGTGATTAAAAGAGAAAGGAATGGGAAAGGAATTCCTAGGCGATTCAAGATTTCCAAACAAGAGATACACTTTTTCAAGATGAAAACCGACTTTCAATTACAAATAAATTTTATAGTTTAGACTCTTAACTTTAGAGTGCTGAAAAGATGACGTTGATGATCCAAACTCTGTTTTCTTAATTTATTTATTACTTTCGTTTCAATACGAGCTATTGGGACTCATGTGACATCTTAATAAGTTCACAAATTTCGTTGGAAATAAGCATATCTATATCTGCCCTAAAGTTCATCTAAAATATAAAAGAGTTATATTTTAAAAATTTAACCCAACCTGCAATAGTTGATTTACGCGTACGATACGCAAGTCTCGAAGACTTTCGAGAATATAAAGAACTGAAATGGAGATGCGGACGAGAAAAGTCGTTACAGCCATGCTCGATTGTTGGTCTGGCTTGAATATTTTAAGAGCTGGAGCCACAAAACTAGTTGTGCATTGAAAGTAGAGGCTCATACAAGTTTTCCAGATGCTGATTATGATTTGAACTTAATTTATCTAACAGTTCCGTTTCATATAAAAAGGTCTTTGCACTGAAATGTGTTGGTGTGGCGTGCCGTTGTGGATGCCAGCGATTTATTAAAAAGTCATCAAAATTATGCTCGAAATTACATTTTGGCCAAATGTGGCGTTGGAGCATTGTGTTCGCAATTTGCATTTGGCGCGCACCCGCACAAAAGAAATTTCCGTTGCCGTTACTTTGCACTTTTTTTGGGTTGTTCATTTTTTCAAATAATTTTTTTCTTCTCCGCTTAGGGTTCGGGTTCGCAATCAGAAAGCGTGGAGCGCGCGCCCAGCACAGCGTGGCTATCATTATTTAGAATTCGGTGCGGTTTTTGCTCTCTGTCGTTGGCGTTGGCGTTGGCCATTTTCTACGCTATTATTAAATTTGGCTATATGTGTATGTACTCGTACAATATATTTCAGCCGCAGCTCTAATGACAATGCGCGAGACGCGCCCTGTCGCAAAAAAAAGAGACCCAAAATCGAAAATTTCGCAACTTTTCGAGGTGATCTGGCACAGTGAAAAATACTTAGTTGGGGCACTGAATAAGTTCTGTTTTCCAATTTCGATTTGGTTGAGTCGAATCGAAATGAAAATCCAGCAAATGCTGCTTTTTATTTGTACTCTGTGCAGTCAATATAGCTGATCAAATTTTACTGTGAAGGTAATTTCATTAAAAAATAATTATAGGGATTTTTGTAATAATTATTCCAAAAATTAATGAAACATTAAACCATCTTCTTGTTATACTCTTCATATACAATGTACCTACAACTTGGCGCGAGGTCACACCTTTTTCTGCCTTTTAAGTACAAGATCATGTACTACAGTGTTTCGATTTTCTAGTACTTAGTGTATAGTCGTGGTAAACAAAATCAAAAGGTGATCCCTTGAAATATGCTATCCTCCTTCATATCAATGCTCTATTTCCAAATGTCCCGAAATAGCGGGGAATTCAAAAATGCACAATATTTTATAACGGCTTTTACACGAATTGCTTGCGCAAAAACTAAAAAAAACAGAAACCAAGAAATCTAGAGAGGCAGAGATAGGTACACAGATTTCAGAGCTGGAATTTCATTTATATTTTCCTCCTTTGTATCCTAAGAATAGTGAGAAGGAGGCTGAAGAGGTCGCACCCTATTGACCTTCCCAACAGATTTATATAAATTATAAATGTTAAATTGTAATTAAAACTAAACACATAGTTTATGTTGTATTTGTATTTAACTATAAGTTTAATTTAAGTTATAGAATAAGTCTTATTATTTATAAGCAATTAAACGAGTTGCTATAATAAAATAAAATAATTAATTTTCATTTTTCAGACAGGCTATGGGTTTTGCTGATAAGAAGCAACTAAGCTTAAAAATGAAACTTAAAGTTCAACTCAAGTGTCAGTTCGGCAGTCAGTTCTTTGCTTATATACTTGTAGTTATCGTATGTATATAAATCCTTAGGTTGCACTCGTAATGGCCTATTCCAAATTTTATGAATTTTCACCTACCACTTATGTAGGCAAGTAGCTCCAAATACATACTCGTACATATTTATATTTACATGCGAGTATATACATGCATACATGGAAGTACTATTAAAGCCCATTTTAAAATTATAAGCCGCCCATTTGCTGGGAAAACGACGCAAGTCCTAAAAGGCTGAATTGGCCAACTGGACGTCCACTTTCTCTGCCAGCTGCTGAACGCTTGAAATGTTCATAAAAAGCGTATTTATAGCACTTGGAGGCCATTTAGTGGGCTAAAGCTAAATTATACAAATGAGTGCTATGTCCATGTCTGGCTATATGGTCCGGCCCAGACCAACCAAATCGCAGTCAAATTGGCCATGTTGACCGCAGAGCGTTTTGCGTTGTTGTCATTGTTAGTGTAGTCGTTGTAGTTGTTGTTGTTGTTTCTGTAGTTGACCCGACTTATGTGCATATCTTGAAAGCAGCAGGCAAACGTAAACTTGCCACAAATTGGCCGTTATAGCTGTTGTTGTTGTTGTTGTTTTTGTTGCCGCTGCAGCTGCATAAGTCCAATTTATTTTGGTTTCTTTCACTCCCAAACAGAAAACAAAACCAAATCGAATTAGACAAAATCTACATAAGCTTTTTCTCTCTGTGTGTGCTGTGTTGGTTGTCCCTGCCCCCCTCTCTCTCTCTCTCACCATCTTACTCTTACTCTCCCTCCTACTCTTCTTGCTTTGTCCGTTCGTCTATACGTCCATTTGTACGGTTCGCTGTACGTCCATCTATCCATTTGTTTGTTGCTTGGCATGAATTACATT